TAATTATTATCTGTGTAAAGTTCCTGTGCTTGAATAAGATAATGAGAGTAGTGAAAGAATACATCGGACTTCAGATGGCACTGCTTCTGCATTTATTGTCCGTGCTTGAAAATGTCATGTTCACAGGCAACTCATTTCCTCATGTCTATGTTACAGTTTTACAAACTGTTTGGTAGTTGTGATAACTAAGTTCAAGGTGGTGTATCAGGCAGCCAATAGTAGGGACAATAGATAGTTTCCTGTCGTTCAACTTTAGCTGTAGAGATGTTAAGCATCTGCCCTGTAGTTAAACCTCTATAGACACGGGGGAGGTGGGGGCCCACGAAGGTCTGTTTGTCTGTGCTAGATAAATGGCTTAAGGAGGGTGAGGTGAATCGCCTTCTGGATCTGACTTTATGGACGTGCAGAGTCCAGATGTTTAGCTCAAAGATAGCACCTGGCTTTTAGCTGGCTAACCTGAGATGCAGTTAATCCTGTCTTAACGTGATGCCGTATATTGAGAAAGGACAGTGTTAGAAATTTGAGGCTGATGCTAAAGAGCACCTTAGTCAGAAGCCAAAAGTGGCTTGCAGTATAGGCAGTATAAATATACATTCCCAGTATCTGCAAAAACATATTTGGGAACCGCTGTCACCAGTTTGTCTCCTCCCTGTCATTTTAATGACATAGTGTACCTGATACGCACTTGTTTTTCTGAATAATCCAAAGTAGAAGTGAAATGATTCACTTGGAAAATAGGAGCTGAAGTTTGGAAATGCATCCTGAAGTTTGCAAAGGTGAATATGGAAGATGCGCTGCTAAGGTGGCTCTGTTGCAAATAGGAGTTGGGAAGCCGAAAAGCTGAGTTATGACCAGTAGGCTTTAAGTCAGGTTTCATGCTTGTAGCGGGTTTTTTGAAACTTGTATATCTTGTGAAGTGGTAATGTTTAGTATCCATATGCCTGCTGCTTACTCAACAACAGTTCTAAGCATTTCAGGGATTCATTCATTTTTTTTAAGATTTTCTTACACTATTATTTTTCCAGGGTTTAAATGCTTTGGGTTTGTAATCTCCCCAGTGGGATTATTTTTTAAGACTTAGCAAAACTCTTTGAAATTTCTGTCAGTACAGAAAGATAAGGAAAAGTGTGCTTCATTTTAGCAACAATATTTGAGGCTGCTAACAGTTGAGATCTTGTAGCGATCTAGTAAGGAATGTATGTCTTGGAAATAGTTTCTGAGATAAACATGCAAACATTATAAATGAAGTTGAATAACTTTATTTTTTTCTGATTTTTTTTTTAAAGTGAAAGCATCAAAATTTTAGTTGGACTATATGTGATGATTAGTTTTCCCTGAAATAAACTTAATGTACTAAAAAGCTAAGCTTTCAGTTGTGCTCTGTGTATTTCAGTATGCAAGGTGTGAGATGGTTTCTTTCTTCGATGGGTTGTCAACCTTGTCCAGCCGGCCTGCTGGGGAGAAGCGGGCTGCCTTCCACCATGGAGCTAGTAAATAAAACACCCTTTTTAGCTTTGGCCTCTTTCCTGACTTCAGAAACCTAAGAAACGTGTACTCTGGTATGTCCCGTAGGAGGCTGACCTTTCTTCCCCAGTGTAGGGTATGCTCAGCGAAGGAGGCAGCAACGCACAGTGAATCACAAACAGTTTGGGGATTGCCTTGCTCTGTGCCAAATTATGTTTTCCATCTCCAGCATGTAATTTTCAGGCAAATCCATTGAAGTCTTTAATCTATAATTAGGTTTATAAGCTTCTTTAGACCTTTTGGATGTCTTTTTTAAAATAATGGAATACAGCGTTACTATTCCGTGAATCTTTCTGACATATTTTCCAGAGAAAGCTTTCCTGGAGGTTTTTTATTTATTTCCTTTTTCCTTCAGTTTTCTAAAATAGGTAGATAAGAATCCTATTTCCATCGAGAAATAAGCTGAAGTTACCTGGTACAAGTGACTGTGATGTATAAGAACAATTTTTTCCTGGCAGTACTGAGCACAAATGTTTTTCAATAGGCTAAAGTAAATATATAGTTCTAAAACTGGATTTATACAGTAGGCTTTTCTGTGTTTAAAAAAAAAAAAGTTAATTAAAATGTCACTCCTTTTTCATGTGTTAATACATGAACGTTTTGCAAAATAAATCACTTCTGTCACCGTTGGTGTGAGGCAGTTCTCTATGTGAATGCCCGTGTTTGCCTCGGGACAAATTACAGCCTGGAGGGACAGCATTTTTGGACTACCATGTGTAAGTGTGTGTGTCTGTGTATCTACCTATCGGTGTGTATCTGTATGTGTGTATGCATGCATAAGCATCATATATGGTAAATGTTGTTGCGTAGCATTCCTTTCATGTTTGAGAAGCAGCCTTCTGTGTCCCTCCTCTGCCCAGGTGTCATTTCTCCTCATTGCTTCCTCATTTTCAGGTATTTATTACAAAAGTACTCTACAGACTTTTTTTTTTTTTTTCCTCTTAAGAATATTTTTCTTTCTGTACCACAGGTCTTAATAGATACTGCCTAATGTTTAAAGAAACCTGTAAGAAGTCTTTTTTTATTGCAAACGTAGCAGCATTAAATAGTCAGTGAGTGTATTCTCAATGTGCTATGGGTAAGCAGTTCTCTTTTAATGTCATTTTCTGGGTATTTTGGGGGATTTTGGTTCCCCTAAGTTGACCTAAGGGACTTTGCTGTCGTGTTTTCTACTGATCAGTTCTGGTTTCCCTCTTCAGCTCCCCATAGCATAGGATTTGGAGGACTCGCTGCTGTCCTGGTTTGGTAGGAGGGATGCCCTACCTGCTTTGCTATCTGTTGTGTCTATAGCAGTCTACAGAAGCTGAAGTATGTCCTTCTGCCCCTTACAAGCCCCGGTGACTACAGTCAGTAAGCTGGAGGCGTAAGCAAATTCAAACGTTTCTAAACCATTTCTGTTGATTTTTAACAAAACTGCTCATACAGAATGCCCTAAGAGAAGGGGAGAAATGGTAATAAATACTGTCATTATTTTAAAATTCTTTCAGACCAGGGAAATCTTTAACAATTTGCACATTTGGCTCAGCTGTAAGTTTCTTGGCATCCTTATGTTCATTTAGGGAAGTTCATATATATATTTATAGGAAATACATTCTGGAGCTTAATTCAAAGGTTTGCAAACTTCCCAAATTCTGCTTCAGTGTACATACGTCTCAGTTCTGGTTTTTTTTCTCCTTATACATTGCTGTTCCTTCACAGTTATATTTTTACTGTCTAGCACTTGTTTTATTTTCCAAAGCACAAGTTATCAGTAATTTGTGCTACTGTTTTTACCACATTTAGTGTTCTTTTTTTTTCTTCTTTCTGTAATTTGAGGCATGTTTTGGCCGTTGCTTGTTCTTCTACTTGAGGTAATATTGTGCAAAGATGGCTACTGCACATACAGCAGCCCAGAATATGTTGTATTATTTTTCTTCTCAGGCATTTTGGGGGGTTGCAGAATTTTGGTCATAATGCTGCTGTGGAAATGGGACTTCTGGAAGACCAGCTTCCTGAAAGTGTTTGCATGACTCTTCCATGTACAACAGGTCTTTTAAGATCCTTTATATGTTCTTGCTTATGGTTAGTAAATAGGATACAAAATCTTCATTTGAGAGTAGTTTTCTGAAAATTGACAAATGCCTTTCCACTTGTACTAAATGTAATCCCTTCCCTTACAGATGCAGAGAGAAGAAGTATGATTATTATAGCCTGCCGAAAACTTCCGTTGTGATAGCTTTTTATAATGAGGCTTGGTCAACACTTCTGCGAACTGTTCATAGTGTTCTTGAGACATCTCCAGATATACTTTTGGAAGAAATTATCCTTGTAGATGATTACAGTGACAAAGGTAGGAAGAATAATTCTAAACAATGTTGATTGTTGATGGGCTTTTTTGGTCAGCTGTTCCACAGGAGAAAAAGATATGCTGTTTGGGTAACATAAAATGGTACAACATAGGCATCTAATTGGAAAATAGCTTTTCTTGTAGCGTGCCAGTGAAAAATTTGACTTCTGGACCAAATTTAGTTTAGAATGAGGAAGCATGCTTGCTGTGTTGTAACATGAGTGCTTGCATGTGTAGATAACCTGTCTGGTGAGAGCATTTCAGGTTTCCTAACTTGAGCAAGTTTCGATTGCCCTGGTGTCTAGTATAGTGAGAGCTACCTGGTTATCTGTTTTCGTTTGAATTATGGGACACAAAGAGAATGCTGGCATTTTCCACTACATGTGAGTTGTGTTAAGAATAAAACTTTTACATGGAAAAAGTTTTACGTAACATTTGAGAAGCACGTAACAATTTGGAAAATGAATGACAGAGGCAAATATGACGCATTCAGTTTCTTAAAAGTGACCGTGATTTGTGTCCGTCCAAGTTCTGTACTTTTGCCTTGTCCTTTCCTAACGTGCACAGTAGAGCAGAATCAGTGTTCAAAATGCCAGTATCTTTAAGGCACTGCTATAAGTAATATGCTACTGAAAAAAGAGCTTTCTGTAGCATGACATATACCCATCATTCCAGAACTATATTCTTCCTTTCTTTTTTTTGTTTGTTACAGACCATTTAAAGGAGACTTTGGAAAACTACGTGGCTGGCTTACGCAAGGTGCGTCTTATCCGTGCAAATAAGCGAGAAGGGCTGGTTCGAGCCCGGCTGCTGGGGGCATCTGTGGCAAAAGGAGACATCCTGACGTTCCTGGACTGCCACTGCGAATGCCACGAGGGCTGGCTGGAGCCGCTGCTGGCAAGGTGAGGTTATGCTCTGTGCTGGTTTTCCCTCCCGTTGCAGAAAGAGAAGAGACAGTTTGGCACACTTCTGCAGTGGAAAAATGACTTTTCGCAGATGTTTACCAAAGGTTACCGCAGTCTGGTCCCTGAGACACTGCGAATGTTTGTCTCTTAGGGTAGTGAATGGAAGTGTGGAAGATCAGGAGGTGGATTTTTGTTTTTCCTGAGGACCAGGCTGCTCTTTTTATTCAGAGAAGGGAAAATTTTGTTTTCAGGAAGAGGAATCCTCCCCCAGCTTTGAAACTACCTTGGGAAAGGTAGCTACTTCTATCAGCCTGGTGGTGGATGAGAAGAAGATCTAGAAAGATGCATGCCCTGAGACATCCCCTATTGCAAGGCAATGTGCACGTAAGCAGATTGGAATAGAAGTCAACAAATTCCGTCTTCCTAGTCCTGAGCGAATCCATCTTTCCAAACTGGTTCTAATATAATGCATCGTGGAGTAGGGTACGGAGCAGTTAATGTTATGTCAACACTGACTTTTACTTGGACACTGTCTGTCCTGGGACACTGTACTTTACAACTATGTAGTTTTTCATCTGTACTGCAGAACTGTCAGGCAGTTCAGAAAACTCCCATTAATTAAAAAAAAAAAGGCAACCCCCCCAAAACCCCAACAAAACCCCCTAAACCCCAAAATACTAGCTCTCTATTACAACTTAGAATATTTATGATATTCTTGAAGCCTCACCCACACATAGTCAGCAGCCATACACGCACTTTTCCTACTGTTGATTCAGCTGGTGGTATACCTCACTGCAGCATCCTGCCGTCCCCACATCGCATGCATGAAGCTGTATTGCTTTTGCCTCTCTTGCTGGCAGCTTACGTCTTTACCCTGTTGGATGCCATTAGCAGATACTGATAGATACAGTACCTGAATCAGACCCCCTGGATATTGTATATAGAAAACCAGCTTTCTTTAAAACATAATTTAAAAAAAAATTCCTTTCTTCAAGGTCAGTTGTTTGATTTGCACCCTATAAAGATTCCCACCAGGTACTGTAGACTTCAGAGAAGGACCAGAAAAAACAGCCATATGTGAACTAGAGAGAGATTTCCAAAAGCACGTACTGCCTTGAGGCGTGCAAGTCTTCTTGATTCCTAGTGGAACTTGTGTTCTCAAACTCCCCATGTCCATTTGAAATTCTATCTGGAATAATACTTTAAATCTTCTTTTTCTTATAATTGTCATATTTAACTTGTTTCTAAATTGCACCTCGAGTGTATTCCAGATAACTGTGGGATAACTATGAACAGTATAGATAGTGTGAAGAAAGGAAAAGGGGTAAAATTCAAAGCATAAGCATGGTTTTATCGCCTGTCCTCTGAAGAAACAGTACATAACTCTGCAGGCGATTCTGTAATTTCTTCGCTTCCTTAGGAAACCACTAGATGGCAATCTTGAGGAAGGATTGGGATAATTTTAAGTGTAATAAATCGCCTTCTATTAAGAGTTAGCCCTGGATGTGTCTTGGAATTTCTGCCCTTCTTGCTGCAGATGCACATGTACATCTCTAAGGGGATGTTGCATGGCATATCCAGTTCAAATGTATGGGAGCAATACAGCAGTTGCGGTGCAAACACAGTTGTATTTGTAAGCTGCCTGTGCATTGTACCATCTAATTCATTCTTAACTTACAGAAAAGGTGATGGCTTTTCACTTACCTGATTGCTTTCGTAACTGAAATCACATGCTAGCTACCTAATTTTCACTCCTTTTCCTTTACAAGAGCAACAAAGCATTTTTAAAATTTATTGGGATTTTTTTTTCCTCTGTGTATGTATCATTCTCATTGCTTTGTACATAAGTTTTATGCAAGTGAGACAGGAGAGAGCGATATTTCTATAAGCCCTTTTGTGTGCTCTACCAAACAGGATTTCAATGGGAGATCATAAAGAAGAAAACAGCTGTGTTGCATCTTCCCTCCATCAACAAGCGACCATTTCATACTTAAGGCAGTCTTTCTCAGCCCAAACAATACTTCTTTGGAACTGCTGCTGTTCTCTGCTGCATTTAACCACCACAAGCTGCTCTAATTTCAGAGTCGGAGCCCCTTGGTCAGCCTGCGGGTTTTAAGCTTAATAATCCCATGAGGAACTAGCTCCCCTCAAATGACAGATACATCACATCTCTTCCTTGTTTGACAATATAATGCATTCAGTTTTCCTTCTCCTCTGGAACATGCAAATCCGAAGATGCAGGGCTAAAACAAGTACCAGCATCTTAAAGTCAAACAAATCTCTTTGTTTCACTGAACTAACAGGAGATGTTGAAGACTAGTATAGAGAAGATTGCTAAAGAGTGATTTAGGAGAAAGACCTTAGCTTGAGCTTGTGTGCTTGACATTGATCTCTCCTAGTACTGAGAGAGACCTTTCCAAAAGTTGAGGTGAAGGCAAAGGATCCCACTGCCTTTTGTAAGGGCAAATGCTTTTGGAAAGGAACCCAGAAAACCTTGCATGGTATTGAGAAATGGGAGGAAGGGGTTTATCTCCTTGCAGAAGTAGACCTGCAAGAAATGTCGTCAGAGCTGACATATTCTTAGTATGATAAAGATCTTAACTATCTTTAGATCAGCCTTGCTGATAGGTATGTCATTTTGCAGTACTATCTTGTTTCTCCTTTTTACCTCCTATGTTGCCAGGGTTTCTGGAGGCCTCCTTCATCTATGTTTCACTGTTGGAGATCTAATTCCTGTGTTACATGTTGATTTTTTTTTTTTATAAAGCTGATGACTTCTTTTTGAGTTACTATTGTAGTGCTCAGTGTAACTTTTCATTCCTGTGTTACATGTTGATTTTTTTTTTTATAAAGCTGATGGCTTCTTTTTGAGTTACTGTTGTAGTGCTCAGTGTAACTTTTCGCAGATGATTGCAGTTACAAGAACAACCATGACTCTAAGGGCCAAGAGGCTAGCTAATTTATTATTCATCTTTGCAAAACTATAAAATCACGCTGCTCTCTTAATATCTTAAACTCAGCTACAAAACAAAATAGACGTTTTTGTTGAGAATGTGATGCTGGCTTCCACTGTCCAGGAAGATCGATGCTTGCCAGGTGCCTACAGCTGAGTCCATCCTGATGCATCCACCTGATGCATCCTCTGCAAGAAATCAGTGGTTATTCTTGCCGCCATTATTTCCTTGTATTGCAGCATGAATTGAAAAGGAGCAAAACTTTGTGTTTGGTATTTGTAAGCATTCTCTGTTCTTGACAGGTCTAGTTTTTGAGAGAAGTTTCTAATGGAAGTCACTCTTTTCTTTTAAAAACATATTAGGATTGCAGAAGAAGAATCGGCTGTCGTCTGCCCTGTTATTGATGTTATTGACTGGAATACATTTGAGTATTTGGGAAATGCTGGTGAGCCTCAGATTGGTGGATTTGACTGGAGGCTGGTCTTCACCTGGCATAGTACCCCTGAAAGAGAACAAAAGCGGAGGAAGTCCAAGACAGATGTGATCAGGTTAATTTTTATGTGTCTTATGAAACTGTGAATGTTACAAGTGGTTTTGATTTCACTTGGAAATGCCAGGTTCTGAAAAATATTTGAGAAATGAGCATATTACTAAAATTTACATATTTTGTTTAGTTCCCCTTTTTTCCAAAATAGCTCCTGCTCCCCATGCTTCTGGAAAAATACTGCTCTAAAAGCTGAAGTTCCTGTATAATCTTCCATATGGAATCCTTACTGCACAAGTAGTCTCTTGACTCCTGCAGGCAAATTCCCACAGATGCTTATCGGCACACGGGAAGATTGTAACTGCTTAACTAATACCAAAGGATGTCCTCTGTGCAAAGCAAAGAGATCGATGTTGTAAAAAATGTGTCATGGTCAACAGTAAAAAAAGGGAAAAAAAAATCATCGACCAGTAAGAAGGCAAAAGTAGTTTTGAAGACTTTATCTATGCTGTAGAGATAATGGTGGTTCCTTGCGCTGTTTTCAAAGGTGAACTGGTTTGCCAGTTCTTTATTGGGATGAAATGATACAACTCTACCCACCATAGTTTCTATGAAGGGCTAACTCACAGGAGCTCATACGGATGTCTTCCTTGTGGGTTTTAGTTTTATTCTGTTTTAAGACAAGTTGCAGTCAGTCGGTACTATTTGTCACTCCGTGCTGTATTTTTAGGAAAGGTAAGGTAAGATTACAAACAATGCATCTGGAAAATGGACACTGTAGACAAAAGCCTGATAATTGAGGGTCTGCTATGTTCAACTTGGAAATTGCTGTGTTTCAGCAATGTATTGTAAGAAATTAAGCAGCTGTTTGGCATTTTTAACATCACGATTTTGTTAGTCCTTGCTCTTACTTATAATCTGTTTATTTTATGGATTACAACAAATACAGAATGATTAATTTTTCCTCAGTCTTTTCTAGGTCACTTATCATGATAATAATACCCAGTACTTCACAAATATTAATGAACTTATCCTCAAATGAAAGAACTTTTTTTTTTTAACGGGAAAAGTGAGGTAGTAATTTAGTCCTTCTCAGCATGTATTAGTCCACATCCTCCTTAAAAAAAAAAGTTTAAAAACATTTACTCTATTTTGAAAACCTTTAGTTTAAATATGCCACTTTTCTTCTCCATGACAAGAAGAATTGTGTTTGGCATGCCAAGGGGAAAACGATGAAGGATAAAGCTTCACGGTAGCCCGAGGACTGTGAGCTCGGCAAGTGTCAACAGTGCTGAGAGTGGTGTCACCAACAGCTGTGTTTGGAAGGACAAGATCTGGAGTGAGACAGAAGAGCTTGACTGGTTATGGAGTTTGATTTTTTTTATTTTTTTTTTTTTTCCTTCTGTCTCACCTCATCTCATTCCGTTCTTTGAAACAACATATGACAGTGTAAGACAGTGTTGCTTCAAAAAGATGGCTGGTAAAATTAGTTTTGACAGATTAAGAGTAACTGATCACTGCACCTAGCATTTATTAATATTTACATCAACAGCAATTTGGTAAAATTCATAAAATGTCAGCTGAATTTAGTTCCAGCCAGCGTTATATTCTTGGCACTTTAAAGAGGGTCATTTTCTAAGACTATAAACAATTAGGAACAATATTGAACAAATACAAGTTTATGTATACGTGCACACACTACCCTGCTGAAAGTACATCCCTTAAGTGCGCTGTCGCTCTGGGCCTTGTGGTCTTCGATGAGGATCCGGTCTTGACCCCTGATTTATTTTTTTTTTTTCCCAAACTTAGTGAAAACAGATGGGCAGATCTTCTTGGAAAGAAAAACAATCTCTTTAGGGGCTATATTTATTTAATTCTGCTCAATTGATGTTTGAGAGTTTTTTTTCTGCTTGATATTAATGGGATCAGGAATGTTGTGATTAATTACTAAAGCACAAATATTTGTTTACTTATTACTTAAGTAAAATATATAAGGATAGTGCACTTAAAATTTCAGAGCTGAATAGTCCAATTCTGCCACAGAAAAGCTTATGTTCTACTATGTGAAGGTAAGAGACTAGTAATTTATTGTTGCAAAATATGTGATTGCAAAAATTTATATTAACACAATGTTTTTATTCTCTGATTTCATTGTTATTTTTATTTTATTATATTCTGAAGCTTGTTTTGGATACAGTGTTTTACTACAAAATTAAATTCAAATGGCCTGATGGTAACCAATCAATGGCTGACTGTTACTTTGTATCCAGAAAAGACTGAGAAAATGGAAAATTAAAATATACTGTATTTTTAATCCATTGCACTGGTTTGTTAATTTTTTGGGGTTTTATTCACTTCAGAGCTACTATTCTCTTTTATAGGTCTCCAACTATGGCAGGGGGATTGTTTTCTGTGAGCAAGAAGTATTTTGATTATCTTGGTTCGTATGACACAGGAATGGAAGTCTGGGGAGGAGAAAACCTTGAATTCTCATTTAGGGTAAGTGGCTCAAGTGAAAGGGTTTTTTCATGACAATAAAAACAAGTTTCTTACTCCTTTCTTCACACCCTTTTACTTAATGAGATAGCTGTAATGTAAGCAAGTGTTAAGAAGAGAGTATTTTGGGAGATCTTGATATGAACCTCTTTTTCTCATTCTCACACTTTGTTATAGCTGTATTTCCTTCCGAAAAGCCATTTCAAACCAATTTTTAAAAACACGTCTTTGTTTTGAATGCCAGTGTAAAATTTAAGTAGTAGTGTAATATTAGCAGATGAAGTTTACATTCTGTGGCTTGAAGAGGATTGTCAGAAAGGAACATTTATACTTCTCTAATATGACTCAGAGCCCTCACTGCGATTGATGGAATGAGCAGGAGGCAGCTGGTGGCAGTGGGGCAGGATAAGCCAGCTCCTGCACTTCTTTAAGGCTTTATTCTGTTTCACTTCAGGAAAAGTTTGTATAAAGGTTATGAAAGGTGACGGGGAAAATCTCCGGTAACCGTAGAGCTGTACCCAACGGTGGGGTGGACCAGTGCTCAGGTGTGAGGCAGGCAGATAGCTGGAATGAAGAGGATTTATGGCAGGGGAAGAGAGAGGAGAGACAAGACAGTCCAGGCTGACAAACAAAACAGTCTTGTCCTCATCAACTCTGTGGTTACCTCTGATGATGATGATGCCCACTGAGCACTGGCTGCCTGTGGTTTGCCCCGTATCACACTTAGCTTGCTGAAGCAATCCAGTATGATGTAAGAAGTACACTACAGGACCATTTTTGGCTTGCAGAGAGTTCACAACGTAGTATCCTGGATTTCCCTTGGTTTTTCAGCTCATCATCAGGTATGTTTTGTGGTCATATTTGCATTTCTGTGTGTCACTGGATTGTGAGACAGAAGGGTGGATGTTTTTGTGTTGTTTTTTTTACCAGGTAACAGCAGATTTCAGGGATAAATAGTATTTTAATGTGGCAAAACCATTTTCTTGAGGAAGGAGGCATCAGCAGACTGTTGCACTTGACGTCTGCGTGTTAACCAGAAAAGCACGGAGCCTTCCTGGCTGCTGTTCCTGTCTCCTGCTGACTGTAGTGCAGAAATCCTAGCAAAGAGGACACAAAAATAAGGAAAGAAAAAGATTAGGGGCACAGACCTGGAGTTGCCGTGGCTTCTCTCTGGAGGGGAATTTCTCAGCTGGAATCGCCATTAGATCTGAATTCATGGCCACCTCCTGTTTCACATAGGGAAAAGTTTCTGGCGTGCCAGTCCAAACACACAGCCTATTTGTCTTGGCCAGTAAATTCAGCAGGCCTCTGCCTGAAGCTCAGAGCAGCTTACCCACCTCCATCAGCTCTGTGAGCTCCAGAAGCAGGAGCCTCCCAGCTGTCTCCAGTTCTGGTGTAGCCCACACTGATGTGTACGTTGCAGCTTGTCCCCACTTTCCACTGGAAGGGTTTTTTTTCTGGGGGATGATTGCTCAATCGCGGGGTCAGGAGCTTTGAAATAGCTCTTAATGAAATTATTTTTATACTTCCTTTTGAGAGACTGCTCAGGGATCCAGAAGTAGAAATAGATTGGGTTGGTACTTGGGGCCCAAAGAAATGATCGTACCCAAGGTAGGTTCAGCTGGAAAGCAGCTTGGTGGTGGATGCCATCCCCAGCTAACTCTGGCAAGGGAAAATTTGTTTTTCTTGCTTACTGAGGGATTGGAAGGGGTGATGACAATGAGGGAGTCATGCATTTTTGGGTACACATGCTTGCTGACCTGGGGCTTGCTGTGTTTCTTACTTTCTCAGCTATGTCACTCTTGCAGCAGACAAATAAGCAGAGAGAGGAGACTGTCAGTTTAGCAGCAAGCTGCATCAGAGAGCATGACACTATCTCCCACAAATGTAGCATAACGGTAGCAAGCATGTTGGATATGTATATCTCCAGAGCAAGACTGGCTCTTGCAGGCACTTGTTTGTGTTTGCTAGTGCATGTGCAACCAGACCGAGCACCTGTGAGGTGGAGAGGATGCTACTTCTGAAAGTAGTACTATAGGCTCTGCCTCCTGGCAGAAATTTACAGCCCTCCCAAAGCAGCAAGCTTGGAAGCAACAGCCACAGTTGACAGAATGGACATTACAGGCTCTACTTCACGTTGTTGAAATGTCTGCAGTCTTCTGTGACCCTGGCTTCCACAGATTTGGTGGCACCAAAATGGCTGCCCCCTAACCAGTAAGAGTTAGGGGTAGCACCACCCCAGATGGCAGTGGTTTTCTCCTCTGAGATGGATTGTGGGAGCTTTCTAGAAGGAGCTTTCTACAGCTCCTTGTCGAAAGCCTGGAAGATGGCCCTCTCTGCAGTTCTTGGCTCTCTGCTCTTCCTGTCTTGCTTTTTGGGAGACCAAGGCTTGCAGACAGGACAAGCCTGACCCCTGCCCTGCAAAACACGGAGTGCCCCTGCACTGGCTGCTGATTTAGACCCAAGCTATCATTGCCATTGACCTCTACCAGTGCGTATATGCGTGGCCTGCAGTGTGTCACGCACCGGGCCGACAGTGGGGACGTGGCTCGTGATGGGGTAGGGGTGCTTAAACGAGGAAGCAGAGAGGCCAGCGTGGGGTTCCAGCGGGCTGCAGGTGGATCGAGCGGCTCTTCTGGCAGGCCACCAGTTTTGCAGGACAGACTGTGCAATGACCAGCAAATATGCCTGGGCATGTTAATTTTACTAGTGCAGATTGCCAGTAGAATCTGGGCATTTGTACACCACATACTTTGCTCTATTTGATTTTGAGCCCCTGTACTTGTGCTTCTTGCGGTGAGGATTTTTGTGGAAGAGAGCAGAGTGCTATGATCTTCCTTCACTGTGTTCTGGCTGCCCACGGTGCTTGAGGAGGTCAAGAAGGATAAATTGGTGTTAATTCTGTTGTCCCCGTGGTTTCTAGACCTGCCAGACCTGAAAATTAGGAGCAGGGATACTGAAAAACAATGTAAATTAATTTATTGTTCTAGTCTCTGAAAACACCATGCTCTCCCGATGACATGAAAGGACTTGTCCTCAGGCTTCCTCTTTCTCGTACTTCGGTTATTCTACACTGCAGAAATTCTCTGTGGTTTTGAGAGGTGTAACAAGGACAAAGCTTCGGCTAAAAGCATCATGACTAAGAGAGATAGAGACCGCGTGCTGAATGCAGGATCAAGTCAATGTGCCTTGATTTTTGATTGCTTAATGCTATTTGGCTGGATAAAATTTCACTTCACGGGCATAATGGGCATTGAAAGTCCTTTTTCTGAAGGATGCAAAACATGCCCTTTTATCTTCTCCCTCCTGTACACAGAGTGAGGGGAACCTGGTTGCAGCTTTTTCCCCTCCGTCTGCTCTTGGTCCTGCTAGTGGCACTGCAATGTAAGTTTGGTTTTGGGGACGAACGCTTGATATGCCTGTGGTCTGTCCTTCAACCCACCATCACGGCATGAGAGAAAACCACGCACGTGCAAAAAGACGAAATGACTTACTGATAAGTCCTTTCTTCGGTTGGAAATTTCATTGCCTATAAGCCTGGATGATATGCCTCCCATCACCTGTTGTCTTTGCTTTTCTGATCATTTTGTATTGTTTCTTCCTGTCCGGATCTGGAAATGTGTCTTGTGGGACAAGATCCGGATCTGGAAATGTGAGCAGCCAGGATGCCCACCCAGCTCCCAGCACATCGTGCATGAGCACCACGCCGAGAGGCTCAGCCACAAGCCAGCAAGCCAAATTGCAGCAGAGAGAGGGGCAGGAACAGAGTGTTTTCCACAGTTTGTCTTTTTTCAGGAGGTAGCATCCTTTTTTTATTTTTTATTTCTTCCAGAGAGTCCTAAAATGTTAGAATGGAGGTGGTAGAGCTTATAGAGCTTTTCTTATTTAGCATTCATTGACGCGGCATTAGACCAGTTGTCCAGAGACTCTGGCAGGGACGGGGATCCCAGGGCGAGATCTGGACATTTACTGTAGCTTTTCATAATGCCACCGTCTGTCTCTGAAAAGAAAAAAAAAAAAATATCGATAGCCTGCATGCATGAAGATGAAAGTGAAAGTAAAAAGGAATGTCACCTTGTTTTCTTTTTGTGGTGAAGGAAAAAAGTACGCTTTTATAATGAGACCTGGGAGGTAGCCAGACTTAGTAAAGAAACATATTTTCATGAGCGTAGGCATGCAAAATGTACATGAAATCTAATGTGTTTCTCTGTTACAGAAGGTTGAAATAATTTTAGGGGAGAATCTTCTCCAGAGTCACTTATTTAGCATTTAGTAATCAACTTTGGTTTCCCTGTTGAATTCCTTGCTTTATTTTATGGCTGTTCGTTTGCACCTGATTTTATATAGAGGTCAAAAATTTTTCCATTAAAATAAAAATGAATAAACCTTTTGAGGAATCATTTAGCTGAATATATTTTAATATTTGTTTGCAATAGGAAGACGAGAAATTTTGAACTGTTTTAATGAAAGAAGCAGAATTTAATGAGCATTGCTTAGCAACCTACAGTTATTTTTTTGAGAAATTCAGAATTTTAATTACTGAAAAATCAACTGTTGTGGAATTCTCTTTTTGGCAGCAGTTTAACAGAGATATGGTCAGTCTGTTTTACGCCATTTAAATCAGACTTCATCACAGAAGAGTAGAAGAATGTGCTTCCTTCTTAAATGTACATTTTTATTTCAGTAGGTTTTATGGTCTGTTTCGCATATCTTGTTTAAACACAGAGTGGTCAAAATGGTAATGATCAATAAAAATATGCTTATATGGAATATAACAAACATGGAAATTGTTAAACCTTAATAAATTTAATGGAGCTTAATATTTGCTGACAAACAGATCTTGCGTGATAAATTTAAACTTTTTCTAAAGTAGTGTTGGATGTAGAAATAATGCAAGAAAGCTATTGTTTTGAAACAAATCTCAAAAAGGGAGATCTTAAAGTGAAAATGGATAGCTGGTTTCATAGCAGCTTTCAAAATGGCAGTAGTGTAACTTATGTGCGAAAATATGTAGATTGTTTAAAAGATCAGTACAGAATTCTAGATTTCTTGTATAATTCCTTTAATCATCTTTCTGTTCAAATGACAAATACACTGCTTCCCCAAAAAGCAACAAAAAAGAAGAGAGAAACCTCTCATGAAAAGCAAGAAATTAAAATTTTAAATCCAGGAAGTAAAGATTATCCAGTGTTCCCTATAGTTGAATGTTGAATTACCTATACCTTTAAGGAAACCTTTTGTTTTAAAAGTAAACATATGTATTAGAGTGCTTACAGGTTTGTTATTAAGCACAGTATTGTGCCACATGTAAAGGTCGGACATCAGTATCCAAAACCAAATCAACTGAGACAACATTCATTAGTTTCTAAATTAAGAAATTTGAGAGAAATCCTAAGTAACTTAAAAACCAAAACAAAACCCAAACCCAAAACTAGTCTGAAGACAATGTCTATCTTGTGTGTGCTGAAAGCCTTCATCTGTAGTGACTTTCTGAATCTCTGAAAGTCCCAGTAAGAGAGATCAGAAAAGTCCCATCTGATCTGTTGTCGTTAAGTACTGAAGTTTTATTTGCTACCTCATAGCTTTCACTCCTGCTGTGTTCATTCGAATAGCATGTAATTAAAAATGTATTTGTTATACAAGAAGGTTGTCAGGGAGCAAACTTCTCTACCCCTTAAACATATCTCAGCTACTTTCTCTTGTCCTCCATTTATGAAGGAAAGGTGAGCTGCCACCTATGCATGGTCCAATACAGGAGGGGAGTTAGTTCACTGGAGGGCCAGGTCTCAGAAAACTTCTGCGGGAAGTCTGTCGGAGCCATTGGTGATAGCCTCAAGTCTATTCAAGCACAGCAACGTGTCCTGCCTTTCCTCCCATGTGACAATTTCGGAAATCTTGTTTCAGGCACCATTTGGAAAGAGGTTGTCTGCCACATTGTGCATAGTATGAAATGGAAAGTGTTTAGCCATGTTTTCCTTTCATTACATCAAACTTGAGATCAGTGTCTGTGTGGGTGAGCTGCCAAAAGTCCACGGTTTTCAAAGGGGATGAGAATAATTACAAAAGTTTGCAGAGAGTTCTGAGACTAGTGTCCCTGCTTGGAGGTCATTTATGGGCTTTATCTCCAGGGCCACGTATTTCCTGACTTGGAGAGCCAGAGGTGCAAGGATGAGGGCAGAGTGAGTTCTGCCAGTTCCACATTCAGGTTCAAGTACATTCCTTGACAGCAAGTAGGAATATTGGCTTAGATAGGACAGGTTGCTTCACTAATCTTGGCTGGACCACCGTGGGTCAGTTACAGAAGTACTTTGCTGTTTCTTTTCATGCTTTGGGTCTTGGGTTCTTTTCCCAGCTTTCCAATGAAAAAGGTTAGTTGTATTTTATGACCAGGCACCCATACCTCTCTTCTGAAATGGTGAGTATAGAAATGGAAACACAACTTGCCACTCTCCAATAATATGACTAGCTTATGTGGTTTGTCAAGTCAGCTTTCCTGAAGAATACACGAGTGAATTTCTGGTAAAATACCAATCATCAGTTTCTTTGAGGAGGCTGTTCATATGGCTCATTTAGACTAGAAGCATGGCTCTTTTGTTAATAATGCCCATATAACTTGAATTGTAGACCGCAGACCTGCAGAAATATTGTGGACCACTTCTTATCATGCCTTCAGAGAAAATAAAGCTAAGAAAGGGATAATTGGATACCACATAAAACCAGGGCTGGGGTTATCTCCTTATTAGTGATTTGCCCTGAGTTCACAAGGATGTAATTTAATTTCATCAAATCAGACACGACTATTGTATGTGTTGCATATAGTATGCTGTGATGTTCTTGAGAAGGCATTATCCTTGCAAAGACTTATTGTTACTGTATCCTTCTGCTTGCAAAGATTCAAATTAATGATGCACAATGTCAACTCTTTGTTCAGATATGGCAGTGTGGAGGAAGTCTTGAGATCCACCCTTGCTCACATGTAGGTCACGTTTTCCCCAAACAAGCTCCATACTCACGGTCCAAAGCTTTGGCAAATAGTGTGCGTGCAGCTGAAGTGTGGATGGATGAATATAAAGAACTTTATTACCACCGAAACCCACATGCTCGCCTGGTGAGTTCAAGTCCATTGTTCATGGAATTTCAATAGAATTTGTTTTCAATTAAATAATTATTAATTTAGCTAATATTTAACATGAAGTGCTTTTTATATTTATTTCTTATTTCTTCTGAAACTTTTTCCCAAACATAGAATGAGTATGTATATAGTTAATTTTTAATTAATTGGAAAAAATCAGAAATTCTGAAAGACTAGAAGGCGGCCACATTTGTGTCATATTAAATGAATGAATGAATGAATAAATGAAAGAATAAAGCTAAGCAAGGTGACCCAAGTAAGGAGCAGCTGTTTAGCCTAAAATGTGCACTTCTATGACACAGCTGATACAGGATTCTATCAATAAAGAATTGCAGAAGAGACACACAATTAATGAATGCTAATCAACGAGGTTCAATGGACAGTAGATCTTTAAGTGAATAGTGTGGTAATAATCTTTAGCAAAATTACCTGTCTTGTGATAATTCTAAAACTTTGGACTTATGTAAGACAAAATGTATTTTTTGGTTTGATTTACTACTGCACAATGCTTGATTAAAAAAAATATATCTACAAAAATCAATAGTGCAAAGATTATTTTAAACTACTCCTGGGAACTCAGATGAAAATGTTCCTAATAAAATGTTTGAAGTATAAGTTCTGTATTTTTTAAAAAAAAGTTAATATTTTTATTTTCTGTGAGGAAGAAAAGACAAGATCATTTGTCTGCAAAATTTTTCAGGAGATAGTGTGAAAATTGAGTAGGTCAGAACAGTAAAGCAGTGTGCAAATTCATAACTTGGATACATTTATTGTGAGGAGCCTGTAGGCTGGAAGATAATAACAGTGAAATATCTTCACAATGTCTAGAAATGACTTATATGAACCTCTGGCACAAAGTCCAAAATTCAGGCCTAAAAGAAGTAAGTCTCTGCTGTTGCTTGTTTCTGGAGGTGCTGAATCTCCCCAGGCACTTCTCTTTGCACGGAAAGTTTTCTGAGTGCCGGCTTTCTGGTTTTGTGCATGGGGAGAGTGGCCTTGCAATGGGGCTGCTGAGCGTCCACCTCCAGCTACACCGGACCAGAGCTTAGGGACCAGGCCAGGGGACGGGGACCTCCCCACATGTTTGGGTGGGCTATCCCCATAGCCATGCTGGGGAGAAAATGCTCTCGAAACCATTACGCTTTTAAAAGCGTAATGTGGAGGACACTGGGGAAGCTGAATTTGGTTAGCTTCCACCTCGTGTTCCCTTGAATTAAACTTGGTAATTAGGTTATTATCGTCTATGCATTTGTAATAATTGTTTTACTTTAACATCATAAAAGCCATTTAGGTTTTATGATTAGAGTCTGACTTTGAGAGAAATAAGGGTTGTGTGCATCCGAAGATGGGAGCTCGCAGGCAATGCCAGGATGATTCTGCTTGTCATATGTGAAGAGAAAACAGCAATAAATGCTGACAGTTTTTCTTGTAAAGTTCTGGACAGCTGATGTCTGTGATGACAGAAATTTAACTTTAAAGGATATTTGCCTGTTAGTATTAGAAGTTTTGCATATTGGCTTCTTGTAACACAGTGGATGTAAACTGAGACTCGTGCATTTTTTTGCACGTATCAAAGCTGCTGCCAATGTACTCTGGTTTCCATAATACTCTGTGCACCACTTGTGCAACGGTTGAGTTCAGACCCTTTTACTTCATCTAACCCAAATATTCAGTCCCATAGCATAATGGAAAAATGATTGATGCTACGGCTGCAGAATTTGGTTCCATAAAGTTTCACTTCAAGATTAATGTTCAGACCTCAGAGCTAATATGTCATGCTGTTTGTTTATTCAAGCAGGCATCTCTGCCTCTGTTTTACATCTGCTTTGTGTTTTCAGTGATATTTCCACAGGTTTGAGAAATGCAAATATATTTGTGATTTGATGAAAGAGTGTGTTGAGCGACCTGTAAAAATCTGGGGGCTGCAAACGGTATCTCATGCCTGATTGTCTGAAGTCCCTAGTCAATATAAAGATAGATTTTTTGAAGACAGACATGAAAAGATGTGAACTCTGCTCCAATCTATAGACAGGGAAAAGTCTGCAATGAAAGCTTTTCTTCGAAGGATTAAGATTTCATACTCCCCGCCCCCCCAAAACTATGAAGTTCAAAGGAAACAGCAGATTTTACAAATTTCATCAGTTAAGTGTAAAACTATCTGTACAGGTAATTTGCAAATGGATGGTGGAATAATTTAAAATTCTCAAGATTCATTCACTGCTTTTGAGATTTTCAGTTATCCAGCTAAAGGAAGTTTTATCTTCCAATATGCCTTCCTAGCAATCTGTATTCAAGGACTTGCGGATTTGGGGAATTTTCTCAGACGAACTATCTTCCAGAATATTTTAAAGTTTTACGTGCGCTGTTCCAATTCTTTTTTGTCAACATTTAACAAATGTAAGGATAATGAAATCAAATCCAGCACCCAAACATGGAGATTTTTCCTGGCTAAAAGTCCTACTCATCACTTTAGCATACGGTTCCTAATAATGTATACAGATAATTTAAAAAGAGAGCATCTGTTCTGGTTGGAGGTTTTTTTAATAATTTTTTTTCTTTCTTTTTTTTTTTTCCAGGAACCATATGGAGATGTGACAGAAAGGAGACTCCTTCGAGAGAAGCTGAAATGTAAGGACTTCAAATGGTTCTTGGAGAACGTGTACCCAGAGCTTCATGTACCTGAAGACAGACCAGGCTTCTTTGGAATGGTATGTGGCTGCTGAGAGAGGGCCTCCTCACAGTTCTCCAAGTTCTCCTACTAACTCAGTATGAAGGTATTTTTATGCCAAAATCAATTTGAGATTTTGGTAGAATTCAGTTAGAACTGATAGGCTTTAAAATGTGGTTTCTATCAGAATCTTTATTCTAGGGGATGCTGTTTATGCAGGAGTTCTGTCAGAGGACAGAAGAACAGGTAATGTTGTCATGAGTTACACCTTCCAAGTGACATCTTGGGAGTGTTAAAAGCAGCAAAGGATGATTTTTTTTTATTTCTTGAAATGTTTCATAGCAGAAAAAGAGAACACCGAAGTGTTTTACGTTTTAGCTATTGACTTGAAAATAGAAAGAGAGTGCTTTGCA